ACATATGTGGGGGCAAAGTGAGTAGTTAAGCATGTTGGTGTTTGTATATACAAAGGGGGGTGTCAGAGGGGACAGAGAGAGTGTGGGGGCCCCAGGCTGGGGGCAGGGTCACATGGAGTTTCACGTGGGGGAGGTCACGTGCCCCCCTTGTGGCCCTCCATGAGTACAGTACCAGCAAGAAATGATTTCTACTCACACCACTGGGTATAAAAAGAGCGTCAAGCATTAACCCATCAACTATCCATGTCAGGAACAAAACAACATCTGTTTTCATTAAAATTATATGGAAACTTACTTCCTCCTGAAAGAGGATAAGGTCCCAAGTTGGATAACACGAGAGTGATCACTTCTGTAAAACCATAAAAAGGAACAACCATAAAACCTTCATCCACTGTACTGGACAACAGAAAGCACAAAACAGGACAGTTCTATGTTCAGAACGGAAACCCAATCAGTAAGGGACTAAACATTTACTCCTTCTGGATAATATATTCCAAAACTCAGAGATGTAAAGCAAATCTGAAATGTGCAGTGCATTTCTAGAGAATTTATGTCTTGTACGCTGTCCAATCAGACTTCTGGGAATTACCTCCGCATTCCATTCAATGTATAGTAATATACTGTAATAGTTACAAAAGGCAAACATTAAAATACAGTACTGCGTATTAAAATTTTATTCATGGCTGCCTGCTACTTTTATTCTTCTGTAACATATTAGAGTATAGTTGAGAAATAATAGCTCCTTCACTAATTTGGGGGGAGGGAATTTCAGCCCTACCGATGAAGGATTTACAACGTAAGTGTTAACTTGGGTTAATACTAGGAAAACTGCCAACTAAAGATTATATATATATAGACCTAGTGCTCACCTCAAACTCAGTACCTCAGCCAATAAACTGTTTACCCTCCCTCCCATCTTCAATGCCCCATTGTGTAGGGCAGAGTATGGTGGAATATAGACTCACTTGTTCCCTCCTGACTGGAGACGCTTTCTGTTAAGTGACAAAAGATTACAGACAAGACTGATGTCACCAAAGCATCCACCCAGTTATGAAATCTGTAGATCAGACTCCCTCTCTCTGTTCCTAAGGAGAAAAAATGGGAAAAGTCAAATTATAAAAGAAAAGCAGAGTTTCCCATTGTCTAGGTATTCTTGGCACTGCATACTTAAGGGCTATACTGTGGGGGATTATGGGAAGGCTTCAGAATAACTCTGGGTACTTTGGTAAAAGGGAGCATGACAGAGCAGCACCCACACCACCCTATAACTGAGTGCACCTCACACAGCACTGGCCTGACACCACTGGTTGATGCAAAAGGAGGTGCTCACCCCTACCCACTCTGAGAAGTCCAGCACCACTGCTGTTATGGACTCACTTTCCCTGGGTCTGCTCCAAAGCCCATTGAAGTCAATGAGAAGTCCTTCCATTGGATCAGCCCCCCGGTGCTCAAGAAGTGCAAAGAATGACTCTGGTTGACACCTTTGCAGGTGGACAAGGCCGTCTGACCTCTTGTTCACCAGCACAATGCCAGCCACAATCTAGCACTGAATCAGCACCTACGATGTCTTCTTATACCCATGATCCAGAGTACACTTTCACCAGGATAACTACATTCAAATAACAAGAACAGTTATCTCTATGGGGGTGATGGAGAGGATGGTTTTTAAAAACACTGCAGAGGTAACATCAGCTCTATAGTTAGATTTGTGTCCTGTGGTTGTCGCAGTAGCTTACAGGCATATTTTAGTTACTAACTATTTGGCAGCTGCAGGTTCCCAAAAGAAATAAATGTTGCCAGCATAATTTTGGCAGAGCACAACATAGAGCAATCTATTTCTGTATTTGCATATTTCCACTGTACCGAGACAAGTTCTCATTGCCTGTGGAGGAGAGAAGGAGAGAGGTTATGTCTCCTTTTCCCCCACTGCCTCTGTGGGGGAGCAGTGGTGCCACCCTGCATTGCCAGTTTCTATTAGATAAAAAGCTGAGAGAAACTAAAGGATGTTTGAAAAGCCAGTGGGCAATATGAGTAAACAAGATACCATCTTGCCTGGAACCCTCACTGGTTTCTGGGCAGACTTTACTAATGAAACAGAAAAGAATAAATTGCAGCAGAGAATTAAATTCAAAACTTGATAAACTTGCTGACAGAGTTATAAACTTGGGAGACATCCAGGCCTCTGCAGCAGCTTACCATGCAAGAGGCAAATATTGGAGAGGTGATGGCAAACCTGATTAAAGAAAACAAGCCATTTAGACACTACAAAGAATCAAACCACAAGTCACTGAATTATATGAAGAAAATGAATCCGCAAACTCAATTGTTTCTTTTGAGAATGGGCTTCCTAGAGCTCACAGAGCCAAATTATATTTAATGTCTGAGATCGGCAGACAAAAATGCACGTTTGCACACCTACATTTGCAAGGGCAACTACCTACCACAACTGCACACATATATCCAGCATGCAGGTATCCAAGTACCTATTTGCACACACAAATGTACAAGTCATGGATGCAACTGTGGTAACTGTGCAAATTTGCACACCTGTCTGTGAGCACAAACATCATTTTTTTTTAAATCTGACCTTTAAACAAGAGGTGGAAGGTGTCCCTTTATCATGTATGTGGAGCAGAGCCTTCAGATGGATCCTGAAGGTGTCTGAAAGCACTGTTAATAATAATAAAAAACAAGAACGGACTCTTCTGCTGTCTGAAAACAATACACTGATATAGTCCCATAGGTTTGCATGGCACTTTACAGACACAAAAAAATATATTGACGGGCACTGAAAGATGTATCCAGCGGGACTTGAAAGAAAACTAGTTGCCTACTCTCGAACATTTCCCTAGTGAGTGGGGAAGCCAATCCTATAAGCTTCTGCAGAATCTGAGCTTTTTGAAAAGCTGCGGTCCTAGCCTTTTCTGTTGCAATGCTAAACTTAAGAATAAAGAGGAGTGTAGATCAAAGCAGTGCTGTCTTCTCGAAACTGTAGGCTAACAGCTGCAGCACTTGTAACAGTTCACAGCTTTCCAAACTGCAGCAGAAAGAAAGCTGACCAGAAACCTGTGATGAAGAGTTTGAAGCATGTTGTGTTGGTCTTGCTCATTAGCTCAGTAACCTATGTCAGTGTTTCTTAAGTATCAGGGGG